AAAAACAGCTTTCTATATTATGGCTATTGTATCTGGATGTATAAAAAAATTAATGTAAAATTTATACACTTGTAATGTCATATATGTTAGAGGAATAATATCCATCAGAGAAAGCTAGAAAGAAAAAAGTGTTAATGAGACACAACTCCCTTGCTTTTCATTTGTTTTCTTTTTGCCTTTTTGACCCTCTTCACACATTTCTCTCGCCCCCCACCTTAATATAATTTAAATCCCATTTTTCTCATAATAATAATCAAATTGCAAACAATAATTATCTTTTATAAATAATACGTTGGGTTTTTTCACATTCTCTTATGTCTTCTTTCTTATTTTGCCCAATATTATTATTATTAATATTATATTATATAATATATATAATATATATTATATAATATATATAATATAATATATAATATATATAATATATAATATATATTATATATATAATATTATAAATATTAATATTTCCTTGATAAAACATTGACCATACCATAAAACAGCATTTTTCTATCATGATTCACGAAGTTTTGTGGCTGTCAGGAAGGCAAACCCTTTAGTTCCAATGATCAATATTAGAAGTGGATTGAACAGAAAGAATACTCACCACCATTTTTAGAAGATAGTGTGGGAACAGGTGATCTTTTTCAGTTTTGTTCTTCTCTGCTAGAAAATACTGTGGTAAAAATTATGGTAGTAATTAGTTCTGTATAGGACAAAATAATTAAGACAACGTAAAAATCAGTCTTGAAAGCAAATCATTGAAATGTATTATGTTACTGATTTTAATAAAAACAGATTATTTTCTTAATTACTTACAGTTTGCAAGCGAGGCACCCACTGTTGTCATCCAGACCACACACAAGATCCCTAGACTCCCAGTCACCAGTTGCCATGCTGTAGGTCGGTGGTGTAACACTAAAGAAAACAGAAACAATGATGAAGTTCCATCGTTTCCCAGAAGTCATCAAATGTAAAATTTAAGACCATTGTGTTTCACCCTTAGAGGGCAACCATTCATTTTCTAATTCTTGAATGAGTTCATCCTGAATAAAACTATTTCTCAGCCACATTGAGAACCCTAGTTCTTTGATACCCAAATTTCCTCCCTATTAGCTTCTTGTTGACTTCAGTTCTTTCTTATCAGAAATGGACATACATTTCGTATGTACCTTTCTTGAGTCTTCCTCTACTCAAGCCTTATATGTTGCTTTTCTCTATGATAGACTTTTCACCCCCATCATCTCTATTTGCAACCTTACCTACTGAGTCTTTCCCACCCATTTCCATCCTCTTCTGGAAGATCCAGCCTTTCAAATCTAATTTCATTATGGACGTTGTCCTCTGAAGTGATCAAGAGACAATTCAATGCCATATATGATCTGACTTTTACTGGATTAAACATTATTTTTCTTAATGGTGAGTAAGATGATTAACTACTTAGTCACTTAAGCTAGAAACCTTGTTATCTTATTCTACTCATTTCTCACCTTACCTCCAACTTTCAGTTAATCATGAAGTCATATAAGCTCTACCGCCAAAATACTTTTTTTCTCTATAATCTGTCTTTCCCCTAACAAATTCTGTTAGTTCTTTGAAGCTAAGTGGTTATTGCTTCTTCATCTTTGTAGGTACCCTAAGTCCAGAGCAGGCCCACAGAACAAATTCAGACATAGTTGTGGGACTGAGTTATATTGAACTGAATTGAAGACTAATATCAAGAATTATTTTAAAATAATTTTAAAATAACACAAAAAAAGTAATAGAATTTTCACAGTAGTTCTTACAAGTAATGCAATTCTGTAGGAATTTGAATCAATGCTATTTTAGAGGAAAGGAACATAGTGAAGGACTATTTAAGAGACAAACAATTCCATGGTAATATCCTAAAATAATTAAGGAGAGTGCTGAAGACAGATAATTAGTGTAATGAGGCAATTTTATAGTGGTTTTGAGAGAAGTAATCTTCTAAACCCAAGAATCAAGATCTAGCAAATAACAAAATATATATAATATTGTACCTTTTCTTTTTTTCCTAAACAACCGTTTTCTGTGCTGAAGGTGAGAGGGCCTTGGAAACTTCAGTTCCGTGTAGTTTACTTGCTGTTCACTTGATTTGACACTTCTCTGGTTTGTCTTGGGTATTTTTTGCTTCTGTTGAGATTTGGAAAGTTTTGGTTCTGTGTAGGTTACCTCTTGCTTGTTTACAATACCCTTGTTTTGCTTACTCTTAAACATTATTTTTTGGAAAGACTTAGATTGTTTCAGCTCAATCTTGATATCTTCCTGTGTCTCTCTTTAATATCTATGCAATAGAGAAATGTGAGGAAAAGAGTTACATGGTGACTGTATCAGCTCAGACAGCGAAAATTGCCTTCATTCTGATGTACAAGTAAACATTTAGGTATAACATTAAAAGGGTAAAAAAGGGAGGAAATGAGAGACTAAATCTCTCTCCCAACTTTGCAGTCCTTCTTCAGAAGAATAATTTTATTCCCCTTTAATGAGATTATACATTTCATTTCCTCTTTGAATCAGGTTTTGAAAGGAGCAGATTAAGGAGTAGATATGTTTTTCCCTCTCAACATTCTCTGTATAATGAATCATGTTGACAATGTGTAGACTATGGCTAAAACACAACTACATTAACAAAGTGTTGATTATTTAAATTTAATATTAAAGTTTTTATTTCAAATCAGGTTGGCATAAAGTTTATTGTATCACTGAAATAACCCATTACTCAGTAGATTCTTTACTAATAGAGGAAAACCCCATCTCTTTCAAGAACTGGGTAGAGTCTACATTTGTACAATAACCATGTATCTCTCAATCTGCCAGCCTAACGTCTTTTTGCTACTTAACTAGATTATATTTACCTACAGGCACATACTCACACACAGAGGCAGACACACAGACCATCTAAATTAAAGAGACAAGGCCAATGAATCACCAAAAATAAACAAAAGAAATTAAAAGGTAATGTATAAAATTTTTAAAATTTATTCAATCTCATTAATAAAGAAAGAAAGCAAGCAAATGAAAAGAATAGAACAACTTTCACCTGTGAGAACACTAAATAACTGATACTTTTCTGAATTGGCAAATGACTGTGAGTATAAAATTGTCAATAGTTATTAAAACATAAAATATACAGGTTTTTTACCAGCAATTCTATTTTAAGTAATTTATCTTACAAAATATTTTTTAAATATTCAAAGTTGTGTAGCACCTGTTTTTGGTTTTATTTACTAAAAGCTAAATTGGAAAAACAAAAGAACAAAAAGTTGTCAAGAGAACGGTTCACAATTAAGGGACTTGTTAAAGTTATGAGACATTTATACCCTAGTATACCATTGTTTAATATAACAAATATTATTTTAAATTTTTATTTATTTATTTATTTATGGCTGTGTTGGGTCTTTGTTTCTGTGCATGGGCTTTCTCTAGTTGTGGCAAGGAGGGGCCACTCCTCATCTTGGTGCGCAGGCCTCTCACTATCGCAGCCTCTGTTGTTGTGGAGCACAGGCTCCAGACGCACAGGCTCAGTAATTATAGCTCATGGGCCCAGATGCTCTGCGGCATGTGGGATCTTCCCAGACCAGGGCTCGAACCCGTGTTCCCTGTATTGGCAGGCAGATTCTCAACCACTGTGCCACCAGGGAAGCCCAACAAATACTACTGATGTGTAAAGCAAAATAATAGATTTGTAACGTGCTATGTCTTTGGTGGTTACTTGTAGGTAGAGTTTTGGCAGGTTTGCACTGCTCTCAATTTTATTGAAAATTAAAGAACATATGTTAAAATCTATTTAAAGGTGAAAATTTGAGTATTTAAAAATATTGAATAATAAATAATTTTATACATAGGGCCTTTTCTATATTTACCCTTCTATAAATTTACTGAGTAAACTCAAAACAACTGGGATAAAGTTATTTTCAAATTAAGAATTTTTTACACTTCCTCAAATTGTTTTCTGAAAGTTTTGACCAATTCATTTAGCACCAGCAAAAATGATATTTAAGAGGAATTGGCATTGTAAGAATGTTGCTGTTTAAATATTTAGAACAATTAAACTATTTTTTGTACCAGAAAAGGAAGAAAAATGACTATTGTTTTTGAAAATAAATAATTGAATAAGCTGATCTAGAAAATGTTAAAAGCGATAGAATCAGGTGGAATATTGGTTCAAATTGAAGCATTACATAGACTTAGATCTCTAATTTCACAACATATAATTGAACAAATTTCAGATAAACTAAAATGTTAAATGTAAACCATGAGATGATAAAACTGATAAACGATTGAAAGAAAGTATAAGTAAATAGTTATAACTTTCTAGTCACACACAGACAAGAAAGAGAGTTAGGTTAAATTATAGAAACATCATTTTCTTGCTAATGTAAAGATTTTTATCAATAATAATCACACTAAAAGACTTTTATTTCATCACTAACCAAAGAAATACAAACTACTATATTAATGATATACATTTTCACCTACAGAATCAGTAAATATTTATAAGCCAAATGCAACCACACAGAGTTGGACAAAGTGCAGGAAAACAGGCATTCATTTACACGGACTTTTGGTTAATCTAAATCTTTCCCTTCTGGAAAATAATTTGTCAGTATGTAAATATCAAAACCAAATAATAAAAACATCTACTGATAAAAGATTTCAAAATCATGTGAAAATGATGGGTTATTTCAAAAAAGAGCCTAAATAGTTGGAAAATAAAACGACAGAAAAATTCCAAGACAAAGAAACAAAAAAGTTCAAGGGATAGCTGGGTTCATACTCCACAACATTGTTTACAAAATGAGCATGTAACATAATTTTACAAAAATTATTTTTTCCTAAACTATCATTTAATACATTCTGAGTTAATTGTTGAAAGTAGTGTTAAAAAGTTACATACATTTTTAACTTCTTGAGAGAAGGAAATAAACAAAAGTAATACTCAGTGACTTGAAGAATAAATTTAAAAATAAATTTTGTAGGGGCTTCCGGGAAGATGGCGGAAGAGTAAGACGCTGAGATCACCTTCTTCCCCACAGATACACCAGAAATACATCTACACGTGGAACAACTCCTACAGAACACCTACTGAACACTGGCAGAAGACCTCAGACCTCCCAAAAGGCAAGAAACCCCCCACGTACCTGGGTAGGGCAAAAGAAAAAAGAATAAACAGAGACAAAAGAATAGGGACGGTACCTGCGCCTCTGGGAGGGAGCTGTGAAGGAGGAAAAGTTTCCACACACTAGGAAGCCCCTTCGCGGGCGGAGACTGCGGGTGGCGGAGGGGGGGGGGAGCTTCGGGGCCGCGGGGGAGAGCACAGCAACAGGGGTGCGGAGGGCAAAGCGGGGAGATTCCCGCACAGAGGATCGGTGCCGACCGGCACTCGCCAGCCCGAGAGGCTTGTCTGCTCACCCGCCGGGGCGGGCGGGGCTGCGAGCTGAGGCTCGGGCTTCGGTCGAAGCAGGGAGAGGCCTGGGGTTGGCGGCGTGAACACAGCCTGCAGGGGGTTAGTGCGCCACGGCTAGCCGGGAGGGAGTTCGGGAAAAGTCTGGAACGGCCTAAGAGGCAAGAGACTTTTTCTTGCCTCTTTGTTTCCTGGTGCGCGAGGACTTAAAGGAGCTCCAGAGACGGCCGCGAGCCGCGGCTAAAGCGCGGACCCCAGAGACGGGGATGAGACGCTAAGGCTGCTGCTGCCGCCACCAAGAAGACTGTGTGGGAGCACAGGTTACTATCCACACCCCCCTTCCGGCTGGTGCAACGTCACACTGACCTCTGCCGCCGCAGACTCGCCCCGCCCTCCGTGCCCCTCCCTCTCCCCCCCCCCCCCCCCCCCCCCCCCCCCCCCCCCACCCGGCCTGAGTGAGCCAGAGGCCTCGAATCAGCGGCTCCTTTAACCCCGTCCTGTCTGAGCAAAGAACAGACGCCCTCAGGCGACCTACACGCAGACGCGGGGCCAAATCCAAAGCTGAGTCCCCGGGAGCTGTGAGAACAAAGAAGAGAAAGGGAAATCTCTCCCAGCAGCTGCAGAAGCAGCGGATTAAAGCTCCACAATCAACTTGATGTCTGTGGAATACATGAATACACAACGAATCATCCCAAATTGAGGAGGTGGACTTTGAGAGCAAGATTTATGCTGTATAGCTTTGCTTCCACCATTTGTCCTAGGGTCCTATCCGTCCGTTGTTTTTTTGGTTTTTTTTCTTTTTTTTCTTAATAATTATTTTTTATTTTAATAACTTTATTATATTTTATCTTACTTTATTTTATTTTACTTTATCTTCTTTCTTTCTTTTTTCCTTCCTTCCCTCCTTCCTTCCTCCCTCCCTCCCTTTCTTTCTTTCTTTCTACTTCTACTAATTCTTTCTTTCTACTTTTTTTCCCTTTTATTCTGAGCCGTGAAGATGAAAGGCTCTTGGTGCTGCAGCCAGGACTCAGTGCTGTGCCTCTGAGGTGGGAGAGCCAACTTCAGGACACTGGTCCACAAAAGACCTCCCAGCTGCACATAATATCAAACGGCAAAAATCTCCCAGAGATCTCCATCTCAACACAAGCACCCAGCTTCACTCAACGACCAGCAAGCTACAGTGCTGGACATCCTATGCCAAACAACTAGCAAAACAGGAACACAACACCACCCATTAGCAGAGAGGCTGCCTAAAATCATAATAAGGCCACAGACACCCCAAAACACACCACCAGACGTGGACCTGCCCACCAGAAAGACAAGATCCAGCCTCATCCACCAGAACACAGGCACTAGTCCCCTCCACCAGGAAGCCTACACAACCCACTGAGCCAACCTTAGCCACTGGGGACAGACACCAAACACAACGGGAACTACGAGCCTACAGCCTGCAAAAAGGAGACCCCAAACACAGTAAGATAAGCAAAATGAGAAGACAGAAAAACACACAGCAGAAGGAGCAAGATAAAAGCCCACCAGACCTAACAAATGAACAGGAAATAGGCAGTCTACCTGAAAAAGAATTCAGAATAATAATAGTAAAGATGAACCAAAATCTTGGAAATAGAATGGTCAAATTGCAAGAAATATTTAACAAGGACCTAGAAGAACTAAAGATGAAACAAACAATGATGAACAACACAATAAAAGAAATTAAAAATACTCTAGATGGGATCAATAGCAGAACAACTGAGGCAGAAGAACGGATAAGTGAACTGGAAGATAAAATAGTGGAAATAACTACTGCAGAGCAGAATAAAGAAAAAAGAATGAAAAGAACTGAGGACAGTCTCAGAGACCTCTGGAACAACATTAAACGCACCAGCATTCAAATTATAGGGGTTCCAGAAGAAGAAGAGAAAAAGAAAGGGGCTGTGTAAATATTTGAAGAGATTATAGTTGAAAACTTCCCTAATATGGGAAAGGAAATAGTTAATCAAGTCCAGGAAGCACAGAGAGTCCCATACAGGATAAATCCAAGGAGAAATACGCCAAGACACATATTAATCAAACTGTCAAAAATTAAATACGAAGAAAACATATTAAAAGCAGCAAGGGAAAAACAACAAATAACACACAAGGGAATCCCCATAAGGTTAACACCTGATCTTTCAGCAGAAACTCTGCAAGCCAGAAGGGACTGGCAGGACATATTTAAAGTGATGAAGGAGAAAAACCTGCAACCAAGATTACTCTACCCAGCAAGGATCTCATTCAGATTTGATGGAGAAATTAAAACCTTTACAGACAAGCAAAAGCTGAGAGAGTTCAGCACCACCAAACCATCTTTACAACAACTGCTAAAGGAACTTCTCTAGGCAAGAAGCACAAGAGAAGGAAAAGACCTACAATACCGAACCCAAAACAATCAAGAAAATGGGAATAGGAACATACATATCGATAATTACCTTAAATGTAAATGGACTAAATGCTCCCACCAAAAGACACAGATTAGCTGAATGGATACAAAAACAAGACCCATATATTTGCTGTCTACAATAGACCCACTTCAGACCTAGAGACACATACAGACTGAAAGTAAGGGGATGGAAAAAGATATTTCATGCAAATGAAAACCAAAAGAAAGCTGGAGTAGCAATTCTCATATCAGACAAAATAGCCTTTAAAATAAAGACTATTAGAAGAGACAAAGAAGGACACTACATAATGATCAAGGGATCGATCCAAGAAGAATATATAACAATTGTAAATATTTATGCACCCAACATAGCACCTCAACACATAAGGCAAATACTAACAGCCATAAAAGGGGAAATCGACAGTAACACATTCATAGTAGGGGACTTTAACACCCCACTTTCACCAATAGACAGATCATCCAAAATGAAAATAAATAAGGAACAAAAGCTTTAAATGATACATTAAAAAAGATGGACTTAATTGATATTTATAGGACATTCCATCCAAAAACAACAGAATATACATTGTTCTCAAGTGCTCATGGAACATTCTCCAGGATAGATCATATTTTGGGTCACAAGTCAAGCCTTGGTAAATTTAAGAAAATCGAAGTTGTTTCAAGTATCTTTTCCAACCACAACACTATGAGACTGATATCAATTACAGGAAAAGATCTGTAAAAAATACCAACACATGGAGGCTAAACAATAAATACTTAATAACAAAGTGATCACTGAAGAAATCAAAGAGGAAATAAAAGAATACCTAGAAACAAATGACAATGGAAACACGATGACCCAAAATCTATGGGATGCAGCAAAAGCAGTTCTAAGAGGGAAGTTTATAACAATACAATCCTACCTTAAGAAACAGGAAACATCTCGAATAAACAACCTAACCTTGCACCTAAAGCAGTTAGAGGAAGAAGAACAAGAAAAAACACCCAAAGTTAGCAGAAGGAAAGAAATCATAAACATCAGATCAGAAATAAATGAAAAAGAAATGAAGGAAACGACAGCAAAGATCAATAAAACTAAAAGGTGGTTCTTTGAGAAGATAAACAAAATTGATAAACCATTAGCCAGACTCATAAAGAAAAAAAGGAAAAAGACTCAAATCAGTAGAATTACAAATGAAAAAGGAGAAGTAACAAGTGACACTGCAGAAATACAAAAGATCATGAGAGGTTACTACAAGCAACTGTATGCCAATAAAATGGACAACCTGGAAGAAATGGACAAATTCTTAGAAATGCACAACCTGCCAAGACTGAATCAGGAAGAAATCTTGAGAATGAAAAACGGAGCTGGAGGAATCAGGCTCCCTGACTTCAGACTATACTACAAAGCTACAGTAATCAAGACAGTATGGTACTGGCACAAAAACAGAAAGATAGATCAATGGAACAGGATAGAAAGCCCAGAGATAAACCCACGCACATATGGTCACCCTATCTTTGATAAAGGAGGCAGGAATGTACAGTGGAGAAAGGACAGCCTCTTCAATAAGTGGTGCTGGGAAAACTGGACAGGTACATGTCAAAGTATGAGATTAGATCACTCCCTAACACCATACACAAAAATAAGCTCAAAATGGATTAAAGACCTAAATGTAAGGCCAGAAACTATCAAACTGGTAGAGGAAAACATAGGCAGAACACTCTATGACATAAATCACAGCAAGATCCTTTTTGACCCACCTCCTAGAGAAATGGAAATAAAAACAAAAATAAACAAATGGGACCTAATGAAACTTCAAAGCTTTTGCACAGCAAGGAAACCATAAACAAGACCAAAAGACAACCCTCAGAATGGGAGAAAATATTTGCAAATGAAGCAACTGACAAAGGATTAATCTCCAAAATTTACAAGCAGCTCATGCAGCTCAATAACAAAAAAACAAACAACCCAATCCAAAAATGGGCACAAGACCTAAATAGACATTTCTCCAAAGAAGATATACAGACTGCCAACAAACACATGAAAGAATGCTCAACATCATTAATCAGTAGAGAAGTGCAAATCAAAACTACAATGAGATATCATCTCACACCAGTCAGAATGGCCATCATCAAAAAATCTAGAAACAATAAATGCTGGAGAGGGTGTGGAGAAAAGGGAACACTCTTGCACTGTTGGTGGGAATGTAAATTTATACAGCCACTGTGGAGAACAGTATGGAGGTTCCTTAAAGAACTACAAATAGAACTACCATATGACCCAGCAATCCCACTACTGGGCTTATACCCTGAGAGAACTATAATTCAAAAAGAGTCATGTACCAAAATGTTCATTGCAGCTCTATCTACAATAGCCCAGAGATGGAAACAACCTAAGTGTCTGTCATTGTATGAATGGATAAAAAAGATGTGGCACATATATACAATGGAATATTACTCAGCCATAAAAAGATATGAAACTGAGCTATTTGTAATGAGGTGGATAGACCTAGAATCTGTCATACAGAGTGAAGTAAGTCAGAAAGAGAAAGACAAATACCGTATGCTAATACATATATATGGAATATAAGAAAAAAAATGTCATGAAGAACCTAGGGGTAAGACAGGAATAAAGACACAGACCTACTAGAGAATGGACTTGAGGATATGGGGAAGGGGAAGGGGAATCTGTGACAAAGCGAGAGAGAGGCATGGACGTATATACACTACCAAACGTAAGGTAGATAGCTAGTGGGAAGCAGCCGCATAGCACAGGGAGATCAGCTCTGTGCTTTGTGACTGCCTGGAGGGGTGGGATAGGGAGGGTGGGAGGGAGGGAGACCGAAGAGGGAAGAGATATGGAAACATATGTACATGTATAACTGATTCACTTTGTTATAAAGCAGAAGCTGACACACCATTGTAAAGCAATTATACTCCAATAAAGATTTAAAAAGTAAATAAAAAATAAATTTTAAAAAATGTGTAGGAAAATCATAGATATGAAACAATGTAAAATTGTTGCAGGCTGGAATTAAAGTTATATAGTAGGTAATCTGGTGTAAGAACCTCCAGGGAAGATTCTAGTTTGAAAAATAATCTAATAATGACATAATCTTTTGTTATTCAAAGCATGCATGGAAAACTACAAAGGAAGTTTCATGCAACTGCTAATTTGTAGTTTACCTCCTCCACAAAGTACCTATCGGGAAGTGAAAAATAGTGCTTTAATATGACATGACCTTTGGTATTTTGAAAACTATTTCATAAATTACAGACTTTTTGATTTAAAATGTATAAGAAAAATATTTAATAAGTGCTTAATAAGAGTATTCCTATAACAAGTCTGAGGCCCTATAGGAGAAGAAAAATGAACCAAATTACATATTGTATTAGAGGTTACTTTGAACAAAAATACCATAGGATACAGAGAAAAGTATGTAGATTTGTCAGAATAGAAATTATATTTTTGGCTTTACTGGTTAAATTATAATAGATAATTCTTAGTAGTTGGTAACTACTTAGTAGTAGTTGATATCACCACCCATAGCAGGGAGTTTACATTTTGTTTTTATAGTATGTAATATAGTTTAGTACAGTCTGTTGTGTTACAGTAAATAACTATATAGTTTGGAAGACTTCAGTGGTCACCAGCTTGTAGGTAAAAAAGAAATTATCTTACTATAAATTTCCAAATATTTCTCTGTTGTTAGTTTTTACCTGATGACTGAGAACCTTACTACGGACACCACCTCCCTCAAGCCTCTCCCACTTACTTATGAGTCTAACGTTCATTTGCCCTCTTCTCATCGTTGCATATGTCCTCCCAGGTACCCTTGTTATTGACCAGTGATGAAGAATCACATTCTTCTGATCCATCAGTGTCCAAGTGCACCATCCTCTTACCTCCAGGCCACTCAATTGCTCTGCCTCACCATCTCCACGTGACTTCTCCACTCTGGCTCAGCCAACCCCTCCCATGGGAACACCTTGGTTCTTGTCGTACCTTTAAATGTTTCATCTCAAAAATGTCTTATTAAAACTTCCCACCCTCCACAAACACACTAACTTTTCTAGATTGCTCATTTATCTCTTTCCAACACGAAAATGCTTTGATCTCACTAGCATCTCTAGTCTTGTCTCCAGCTCGACTTTGTTCTAATCTATCAGTCTGCTTCTTACTTCACCTTCCTCCATGTCCACCTTGATTCCATAATATGTTTCTCTTCTGCCAATCACTAACTTCCTTGAACTTTTTTTGGTCCCACTTGTTCAATAAAATCATTATCTTATATGGTATAAATTATCTCTTTCTCTTTGTCAATGTCTGAGAAGCCAAGTGCTTTTAGAACAGATCAGATTTTCTGCAATATAAATTCATTGTCACCAACATGAAATTGCTTTAACACTGCTGGGAGTCCTGTTACTTTTTTCAGGTCACCATTCTTTCACATTCTCTGAAACCAATTTTATCACACTTTCTCCATTCTTCACAAATCTCTGTCTCTTCCACACCCACTCTTGTTCTCAGAAGATGACCTATATCACAGAAAAATAAAAGCCACCAGATTATCAGACTGAACATCTCTCAGGTTGCTCCCTATATATGCGTGCATCGCATCTTCTCTCCTGTTCAACAGAGCTGTTCTTCCTCTTCGGTAAAGCCAATTTCAACTGTATTTGAATATATCCACTCCTATCACCGGAGAATCATACACTATTTATCACTTCTCTTTCCTTTTGAATATTCAATGTCTTCTTAATAGTTTCCTTCTCACCAGCTTAAAATTACATGCAATTTTTAACCTTATTAGACCTCAAATCCCAATATAACTACTATCTTCACTCTCTATCACTCTTAAAAAAGAAAAATTCTCAGAGTGCCTTTGCATTTCATCTCTATTTCTTATCTTTTATTCTCACTACTCAAGCCGTTGCATCCTGGCTCCTGCCCCAGTGATTCCTTGGCATCAGCACACCTTTAGATCATAAGTGATCTCTGCTTCACTAAACGGATCCCTTTATTTCGCTTTTAGATGAGCTTTTAATAGCATTCAACACCATTCACCACTCCCTTCTTTTTAAACATTTCTTCTTAATTCTGTATTTTCTTGGTCTCTTTATCCACAATCACTGTTTCAATGATTTCTTATAACAAGTGTTTATACATGTGTATGTGCTGAAAAGATTTTTCCTTTAGGTTTCAGCTCACTTATCTCCTTGTCAATTAACATCTCCTCTTAGTGCCCCAAATATTAACAACTAAAACTCAACACCTCAAAAATGAAAACAAAGTAAACAAGATCATCATCACAAATGCATTCCTATATTAGTAAAGGTCACCATTTTTTAACTTGTTGAAGGAGTAAGAAATCTGGAGTTCTACTTATTATCTCATTCTCTGTATATCTATGTCAATTACAAGACTTGGCCTATTTTAAATAATACATTATTCTCAGACTGTCTGCCTCTGCTCTGCCTCACCTTTGCAGCTCCATGTGATACTACACTTCTTTCTATCTTTATGCTCCTGCCACATCATTCTTCTTTAACTGAATGGGCCATTCTTCCTAACATCACCAGGTCTTTACACATCCTAATGTCCTTGCCTGAAACACTCTCTCCCTCGTTTCTTTACCTAAGTAACTGTAGGAATTCAATTTGTAAAATACCTATTCCAATCTGCACTCCCTTAGAGATCTTCAGGGAACTCCTACACTAGCTCAGTTACCTATATGATATTTCTCATAGCACCATGTGGATAATTTACCTTTTCTAGGCAATAATCAACACAGTAATTTAAAAATAATTTCTGTAGTTATTTGACTGATATATGTTTTCTCCAACAATTCTAATTTCCACAAGGATATGTCTATTATTGTTTATCATTTTAGGACTTGACATATAGTAGGCACCCAAACATGTTACTTAAATGGGTGAATCAGACAATAAATTACAGAACACTCAATAAATTGTGTTTAAACAACTGGATATACTTTTGGGAAAATTAACCTTAACTCCCTATGTCAGGCAAATGAAATACTAAACGTAAGTAATACGTATAAGGGAATGAAACACAGAAATTGTATTTTTAATCTTTGAGTAAGGCCAAGAAACATAGAAAATAAAGACAAATTTTTAAAAATAATATATTTGGTCAGAAAAAAGAAAAAACAGAACATTTTAATTTATATAACACCCTTTATTTATTAAAATATGAAAACTACATAACCTATGTACATTGTATAACACATATATATAACGTGATGAAGTCTGATGAAAATATAATCAGTTTCGTCTTAGAATGGTTAATTAGGAGTTTCTCCCACTATAGACAACACCAGTTCAGTTTTTAAACAATGAGCTTGCTATTTTTTATATCCAGTTTTCTCAGTAACAGAGCCAAAAAGACATGAAATACTAATCTAAAATAATGAGAACTAGCCATGCGGAAGGGAAGCAAGAGCTGGGACTGGGGCTAGGGTGGGGAAGGGAAGAGGTGGGTAAGGGGGCGAGGGTGTGGTTGCAGACGAAGGAGGGGCCATAAGAGCCGGAGCCTAGGATTAGGAGATTGGGAGCAGTGATGCCACCCAGCCACGTTTTCTCCTGCGGCAGAATCTACCCTTCCCTCTTCTACCCCTCTTCCTCAGCTGGTCAGTGGGGGCTGAGGCGGGTAGAATCCAGCCGTCAGAGCTCTTAAGAGAAAAACCCAAGATAGAAAAGCATCAGTAAAATTTAAATAAGAAGGGGAGTTAGTCAAGGCAAATGTTCTAAGAGGATAAACCAATATTGAAATTTAATTTGGGTTCCGAGAGTAGAAGAATGTTGGTGACCTATTAAGAGCAAGTTTATTTGAATGCCAGAAAAGAAAGTTTGAGCAGAGCACTGAACTGGAGAAGAGAAGGCACAGACAGGTGCCGATTCAGATTCGGTACAATCAGGTGCTACGTTTTTAGGAGATTTTACCTCTAAAACATTTTTTCAATTTCTTACCTCTTCTCCATCTATGTTATTTTTCTTATCTGAGATATTATTTACAGGGTCTTCCCATCTCTTTTATTTCAGTTGTTGGCTTAAAATGCCATAAGTACAAGTTCAATCATGCCGCTTTCCAAATTATTCAGTTGGTGATTCCCTGCTTCAACGCCTTTTTGAAGCACTTGTATAAAGTTGGATGGGTAATAAATCCTTGATCCTAAATCAGGGCTTGAAAGTTTGAGAGGCAGCCTTTGTGATGTATGCTTTGGACACATATCAGAAGCCACCGTTATTTAAATTTCCATCCTATCCTAATATGTGTGAGGTTCGATAGCAACACTGGTCTCTCCTTTTACCTAAGTTCTGACAGTGAGTTCCTGAATCTTTAAGATGCTGCCCGTGGCTTGTGATTTATACATTGTACATTTTACATTATGTGTTTTATATATTAGTGTACATATTATAATTTATACCAAATTTTTCTTCCCGACCTACAGAAAATCCATCATGACATTTTCAGGCTATTTGGTACAAGAAGTAAAAATACTCAAACTTAATTGAATGTATATTGTTTGCTACTCATTAATTTCATTCCTTAAACTAATAATTATTAAGAGTGTATAATATAGCTGTGTCTCTGCTACACACTGAAGAGAGACGGTCACTGGAGTCCAGTTTTTTAGTCTATTTGAGAAAAATAGGGCCATGGTTATAAGTAATTGTGTAAGGGACAGTGAAATGGGTGTGCAGCTTTAAAGAGAACCACAAAATCAAATCCTGACATGGGTTGAAGTAGGGTGGAGGTTTAAAAATTTTTATTTTAAGAAATAGTAACTGATTTGAGTCCTAAAGAGTTACTAAGAGTTAATGATGTAAGTTAGGGGGAAAGCAGACAAAACAAAGAAAGCAACATAAAATCATGAACAGAGCAAACAGTCCTTGTGGCAACACAAAGCATTAAGAGGGTGGAGAGAGGAAATAAAACTGAAAAGATGGCAGGAGTGAGGAACAATTTTGCATCTCTTTCAGCAGCCTTATTGTGATTTCATAGACAGTGGAAGTTTATCATGTTATGTAAGTAATATGACATTGACCGATTTGAGTTTTAAATATATAACTGGCTGCTGTGCAGAAATGGAATTGGCTTTTAAGAACAAAGACAGTCCTAAGGAGACAGTTATAAGGCAGCAGCCAGTTCAGGAGAAAAATGATAAAGGTTTTAATGAGAGATGTCATAATCGGATGACATGTAGGATGTCGTAAATAATAATGATAATAATTAATAATAAAAATAATAATAGGTTTAGGAGCGATGCTATCAGGGCTTGATGAATGAGTGAAATTCAGGAGACTAAAAAGGAAAGAGGAGAGGGAAATTTAAGGATGATACTGGCATTTTCTTGGGAACTGAGTTGGCACTAGAGGTAGAGATGACATAACCTTTGGACATCTTTAGCATGAGGTGTCCATCCTCAGAGTCTGGGAATTCATTCCACCCAAACCTGGAATTTAAAATACAAAGGAAAAGGCTTCAAATGACTAAAGTGGGCCTTCTCTGCCATATATCAAACAAATAAGTGGTGGAGTCTCTATAAAAACTTTGATTTAGTTCTTTAAGTCTCTAGATAAAGATGTGAAAACGTTTTGAGTTCCTCCAGCCTTCTTTTCTGTTCAGAAGATCTGCTTTTAAATATAGATGACAAATCTGTCTTGCTTCTTGTTTCCTGTCTGTCTCAAAACAGAAGTAAAAGTTCTAAGTTAGAACCATTAGTATAAATTAAATTAATTAAATATATCAAAGTTCACATTATTTTCATATACAATAGACCCTCCACATCTGCAGGCTCCACATCCCTATATCACACCAACCACTGATAGAAAATATTTGAAAAAAAATTCCAGAAAGTTTCAAAGAAGCAAAACTTGAATGCACTGCACACTGGCAACTATTTACATAGTGGAGTTTGTTTTTCCTGAATTAAAAAATAATTTTTCTTTTTGATTTTTCTTGGGGTATAGTTGATTTACAATGTTGTGTTAGTTTCTGCTGTACAGCAAAGTGAATCAGTTATACATATATCCACTCTTTTTTAGATTCTTTTCCCATACAGGCCATTATAGAGTATTGAGTAGAGTTCCCTGTGCTACACAGTAGGTCCTTATTAGTTATCTGTTTTATATATAGTAGTGTGTATGTGTCAATCCCAATCTCCCAATTTATCGTCCCCACCCCCAGGTAACCATAAGTTTATTTTCTACATCTGTAGCTCTATTTTTGTTTTGTAGATAAGTTCATTTGTAGCCTTTTTTTTAGATTCCACATATAGCGTTTACATTGAATTTAAACTATTTTCATAGCATTTCCATTGTATAAGGTATTATAAGTAGTCTAGAGATGACTTAAAGTATACAGGAGGATGAGCAAAGGTTATATACAAGTCCCTTTTCTACAAGGGACTTGTACATCTGCAGATTTTGTTATACAACAGTGGGGGGAGGGGTCCTAGAACTAATCCCCCATGGATACTGAGGGGCAACTGTATACCCAGTTTAAACCTTGT